AGCCACACCCTCCAGCCACAATGCGATCGTCCGCACGGGACCGCGTGGCACATCAATGCCTGTGTTCCGGTCCGGTCAGAAAAAATAGTGCTTGCAGCATTTTTTCTGACCGGACTTCAGGCATTGATGTGCCACGCGTTCCCGTGTGGCCGGTGGGCGTGGCTATGGTGCCATTGAGTTCAATGCACCGCCACACCCCCTCCTGCCCCACAAAAAAGTGAGCAGGCCGCAATGCAGTGCGTTCCGGACAGAATCGGGCCGGAACGCACTGCATCTGGTGTGAACGTACCCTCAATCTAAACATAATCATTACATTTTCTCTCATAGTTCTTGTAAACAGAGTAGTAAACAGTGTAAACAAGGACAGCAAATGTCTAACACTGCATGTAAAGCATGACCACACCGCTGCATGCAGGTATTCCGGAGGGCACTATAACCATGTATATATAGGACTTGTTTACACTACTTAAATTACGCTAGTGCATATTCACCATAACACAAGGTAGTGCACCATGTACGTCTTAGTGCACCATGTAGTGCATTTCTGTGCCATTCATTTTGAAGAGCACTCCAACATTTGTCTAGAATGCTACTTTTGTAAACCTGTGATTGCAGTCCATCACGGGAGTGAGCTTGGAGTGGAGGCTACTTTACAAAACACACACAGGGACCATGGGGAACAAAAGTAGCCACCCTCCACAACAAAGGACAGTGTCTGCACCAATTCAGAGATGATTTGAGGATCTATAGCTGAGTGATACTCAAATAAGATACATTTTTGTTAATAGTTAAGGTACATAAATGCTTTTTTGAGATTTAATTCCAGAGTTTAGTGTCACTTTAAGCTTTGAAAATAAAAGAGAGAAGCTGATTGTTTACCATGGGCAACTGCTCCAGATTCTGTCTGTTCCAGATGTGATAAATTCCTTATATGTACGGTGCAGTACACAGCGCTGCCATAATAAAAGCAAGTCCTAAAGTTTCTTGTGTTGAGGTACATTACAGCCCAGTCATTTTAATGAGCTGCATCATAAAACTTGTTTTGGAGTATATAATGAGATTGGAAATTGTAGAGAAATTCTTTAACCTCCCTGACGGTATGATTATTCAGGATTTTAGCATCCCAAAGCGATACATTGTTTTTTTCATGGAAATTTGTTGTTTTATATTGTAGGCCCGTAATTCTTAGTAAATCTTAGGAATAACTCACCTAAATCTGTCCAAACAAGAGTCCAGTAGACATCCCAGGTATGATAAAGTTTGAAACACGAAATTAAAAAATTATAATATAATAAATTATAAATAATTATAAGATGTTTAGGTCAAAAGCGGTTTTTGACCAGGTAGGAAACAGCGATGGTAAATTAGAATCACTTGCAGAATGAGCGATAGCGATTCTTCGGGAAATTCCTCATCAGACACTGAAAGTCACTTTCAGTGTCTGATGAATTACATTGTATTGTGTGTATTCTGTGTACATTGCAACTTTTCACTTTTGAATTTCCCGCCGGCTGTGACGCCCGAAAACGAAACTAAAAGTCAGATGCCGGCATCGGCCGGCCGCGTACAGCTGAGGACACCGCGGGCTCGCAGGGCCAAGGTAAGTGACACTTTTCTGTGCATTCCCGAGTCTGGCTCGGGGTTACAGCTCTTGGTACTGAACATTAACCCCGAGCCAGACTCGGGAATACCGCCAGCGAGGTTAACTAAACCCACTAGAGTTTAGTAGACTAAATCTACTGTAGATTTAGTCTACTAAAATCTTATGATTTTAAAAACTAGACTAAAACAATTCAGATGACTAAAATAGGACTAAATCTAAATGGCATTTTAGTCAAAAGACTATGACTTAAACTAATTTGTTTTCAAAATTAACACTGCTGTAGTCAAACTACATTTCCCAGCATGCATCTGTTTCCGGGAGTCATGCTTGTGGCTGTGAGATTCTTGTAATGGTTAAAGGCTGGAGTTTGCCCACCGCAGTAATAAAGCCTTCTCAGGCCCTTTTCCTAACACAGATGCTCAATAACCACATTTTTTTATAACCATAACCAAGTCCCAGATAATTTGGTATTCGCAGTTGTAACATTTGATCTAATTGATCGTCTTCTCCTTTCTCTCTATGTATCTTTGTGCACCTGGCAGGTTCCTGGAGCAGTAGAACATTGTATTACAAGCGATGATCTCTTTTGGCTGAAAGAACCTCCGGGGAAAACGTATGTGATTTGCCAAGTGTTGTAAACAAACCCGTGCACTCTTCCAGAACAGATTGTTTGCTATTACTTTTCCACTCTGAGCCCCCCTGAAAAAATCCCAACTTCTCTATAAGGGAAGTGTTTGGTATGTGAGTGACCTGTTGCAAGGTTTGAGCATTGGTATGTAGGAGGTGGAGTTGCGGTGCCCATACAGTAGTAATTTAATAGTAAAGCTGGATTTTGCATTAAAACCTTAAAGGCCATTTCCACCTATTGCAGAGGTATTTAAAAAAAAAAAAAAAACATGCCAGCAATGTACACCAAGCTTACATGAAGCAGGCATATGCAGCTGCTGTATATGAACACAGAAAGTACATTTTTTGTTAGCTTTTTTCTTCATATCCTCATGGAAATGGCCACCTCTGTGTTTTGCAATGTGTGTATATTACAACTGAGTTCTCTCTGAGCGCTCTCTCCCCCATTCATTATTATTCATATTGGCACCCTACACCCCTGGACAGTGTATTGTGTGCAAAGGCAGAGCTGGTGATTGTGTTACACAGAATCACAGGGAGGGGGGCAGCTGTTTACAGTCTGCTTTACAATCCGACCCTGGTGTCTGACTAAATTTCCTGTGGAGAAAACTTTTAATTTCCAGGATTCAGGCCTAATTGAACTCTAAATGTAATGGTAAAGGTATGATCTATCATCTTATGGTGCCCCCATCAGTGAGCATTGATGTTTATGTGCTTTTTTTTGTTACCATAGTGCAAGTTTAACCACTTGCTGACCGGGGTGTTAAACTGCCTTCCTGTCCAGACCATTTTTCAGTATTCAGCGCTGCGGTACTTTGACTGACATTTATTCCCTCAGCTAACGCAGCCAACCAAACATGTCGAGCCTCAAAATTGCGCGTGCGAAACCTCAGAAAACTACAATACCCAAAATTGGCCATAGGCGACGCTTTAAAAGCTTTTAACGCTCATCAGTTTAGTGTTATTAGTGACTGATGAATTATTGCTTTCACTCCGACGTTTGCGGCGACATGTAACATGTGTAGCGCAATTGCCATTTTCGCGCACTGGCGCATCAAATATGTGACTTTTTTTATTTTTACTTTTTTTATTTTTTTTTACACTTCTTGTTATTGCTATCACATAGGGGGATAACAATCCCTTTATATAATAGCAAAGGCACACTGACAGGTCCTCTTTATGGAGACATTAGGGGTCTCTAAGATTCTGATCTCCCTCCCATCTTAACTCCTGACGCCATCCCGAGCTGGTCCCAGGCCGCAGATGGGCTAGCGGATCCCGGGATTGAAGGTGAAAGGTCAGGAGGGGGCGGCACTCGAGGGGGGGGGGCGAGCAAAACACAACATACAAGCGATCGGCAGCTATAGAGCCGCCGATCGGTTGTATGTCAAACATCCGGTAACGGTTGTAAAGAACGGGCCGTTTTTTTTCTGCGCGCGAGCAGAAAAAAAAGCTGTCTGATTACGGCAACCCGCCCATGTGAGTTTGCTGTTAAAGTATATGTATGGCTCAAATTATTATTATTTTTTTAATATTTTGGAATAAGGTAGGAAATTGTTTAAATAGTTCAGTTATTTTTTTGCTTTTTGTTTCCCATTTCCCATGACCTCTTCTAGGAGTCACTTTCTTTCCTGGTGACAATTGTCACAAGTACAAATACAGGGGTGAATCTCCACAATGGGAACACAGACCCCAATATAAAACTTGACAGTGGGTCTAAGCCTACATTACACTATACAAAACAAAAAAAAGGTTTTGCCTAGAGATGCACTTAAATTGTAGAGGAGAATGAATGTTAGACGCAATAGACACAGAATACCAGAATTCAAATATGAAACACGGTGGTGCTTTAGTGTGGTTTCAGTGTCTGTGAGGATTCCCAGATGTGCATAGAAGAGCTAAGGATAGCTTGTGGTTTACATTGTGGATAGCAACATCATATGCATGCAAAAATCAACATTGTAATGTTACTGCTGTTTGACATTTGAGCAATGCTAATTTGTTACCTGTATGTTAGAAACATAACTACTCGAAGTGATCAAATAATCCAAAATGTAGCAGCAATTTGCCTGAGGTACATCTTATTCTGACAACATTGACACAAGTATAAGCCTTTAATAGAAGTAAACAATACTCCAACCAATATTTACCACTTTTGTAATGATAATACAAAAATTATCACCTTATTACACTTATTTGGGCACATTATTGAACCTTTACCCAGTCAAGGGGTTTAAGGGACAGTGTGGGGCATTAGTCCATCAGATTGACAGTTCAAGTGGTATCGCTGGTACCATCAAAGCCCCACCTTTTCTTCTTTTATATTATTATCATTAGTTCAGGGGTGTGGTACCTAGATACTCAGGCCTTGGCCATCAATTCTCAGGTGTCTGATGGCTTTAAATCAGCCACATTTGGATTACCTCTTTTTTAATTAGTAAATAATAACATCAGCTAACAAAAAGTGTCAGGATATTTGTACTGCTTGTAAGTATGTTCTCAGATTTGTTAGAATTATGCATACATTCCAGGGTTTTTACTTCTAATAAATACATTCCCTTTGTGACATTTATCTTTTGTCAATATTAGAAATTAGACCAACAATCAGCTTTTCATATAAGTTCGCATATCATTGTATTTGCCAGTAGGTGGCAGCACGAGTGTGGACATCAGTACACATTAAAATACATCTGATTCCAGAAGGGTGACACAGCCCAACATTTAAAGGTCATATCCACATATTTAAAGATATTTATGACGGTTCTATAAACGGGTTTCCCTTCAACACATTTGTTACACATACACAAGAAATATTTGCTTTATTAGAGATTACAGAGTACACCGGTAGTATGGAGGTGTGTGTATATGTGTATATGTGTGTATGTATGTATACAGTATACTGTGTATGTATGTATGTATGTATGTATGTATGTGTGTGTGTGTGTGTATGTATATGTACAGGTGAAACTCAAATAATTAGAATATCGTGCAAAAGTAATTGCAGTAAGTGCTTCAAAAGGGGCCCAAACCAAGTACTGAGTACGTATGCATGCTTGTACTTTTCAGAGGTCCGATATTCTATGTACAATCCTTGTTTTATTGATTGCATGTAATATTCTACTTTTTTGAGGTTGTGGATTTGGGGTTCTTGGGGTTTTCATGAGCTGTAAGCCATAATCATCACAATTATGACAAATCACGGCTTGAATTATCTTGCTTTGCATGTAATGAGTCTATCTCATATATTAGTTTCACCTTTTAAGTTGCATTAGTGAAATAAATGAACTTTGCACGATATTCTAATTATTCGAGTTTCACCTGTGTGTGATATGTGTGTGTGATATGTGTGTGTGATATGTGTGTGTGTGTGTGTGTGTGTGTGTGTGTGTATGTATGTGTGTGTGTGTATAGGTATATGTCTTACCTAGGTTTCCCCACTATACATGGTGAGGATTTGTATTTGATTTGGAGAGATCAAACTTCTTGTTTGCTTCGAAAGTCTTATCCTGGGTTCTGCAAACTGGAGGCTTTGTAGAGCTTTATGTTTATGGTTCTGTACATAGAACAAAGTTATGTGATTTTTTTTTTTTTTACTTCAGTGTAAAGAATTTTAGATTTTTAACCCTTTCACCTAGAGCCATTTTTACACACATGTTAAAATGTAAATTTTAGACCTGAAGAATACTTAAAACCCGTCAGAATTAAATATTTCCTGAAAGCAGAGACCGCAGAATAAAATGGTGTCAGCTGCATTTATTTATGTCAAGCCAAACTTTTCAGTAAAAAATACTTTTTAAATATTTTTTTTATTTTATTTAACTTTATTTTGTAGAATGTATGTTGCGACCAAATATAGGTTATTAAATTAAATATCAATATGGTCCTTTAAACAACAGTGGAGCCAAAAAAAGGGGAATCCTGACAATAATTAGCCTATAAATAGGCATTATGCAGGCAGTCAATGACTCAACGGATTCACTCAGCAGCCCGCTTACCATCTGCCCTGCTAAGGGGCACCCCACCGGCACTCGACGGGGTGGGCAGCTGGGGTGTTGGTTGGGTTCTGAAAGTCCCAGGGCACCACAGGGAAAATAGTTCTGAATAGTGAGCTACGGTGAATAGTGGGCATGGCCAGGTTGCCGAGACAGCAAACAGCGTGGCCAAGACTTTCTAGTGTAAAACATAATGAGGGGGAATTTATAGAATCTGGAGCAGTTGCCCATAGCAACCTGGAGGAACCATTGAGTGCAACCAGGCATCTGAGTCACTAGAGTGTTTAATGCAGAAGAGTCTTTGGCAGTGGTTGGGAGCGAGATCAACAATATGAGCAGCTAGACAGGTAAATAATCACTATTTTCTTTTACAGACAGGACTTTCATTTTACTGACCACCCTTACTGGTAATCAGCAATATGTGCCCCCTTACTGGTGTTTGGCGGTGTGCCCTTACTGGTGGTCCGCAGTGTTTGCCTCTTACTGTTGGCACGTGTTGTTTGCCCCCTTACTGCTGGTTGGCAGTGTGTGCCCCCTTGCTGCAGGTTGGCGGTGTGTCCCCTTTACTGCTGTTTGGTGATGTTTGCTCCCTTACTGGTGGATGGCAGTGTGTGCACCTTTCCTGCTGGTCAGTGGAGAAGTGTCCCCCCCTCTTTGTTTCTTGTCGGTCCTATGTCCCCGCCTTTCATTGGTGGTGAGTGGGAGCAGTGTTTACTTACCTGAGAAGCTTCACCAGCCACTGCCCCACTGCCTCTGGTCTCTTTCCACCTAGCTGAAAGGAAGGAGCCACACATGGTATTAGGGGTTGGGGACACCTGAGCAGAACGTTAGTAACTGATAAGGTAAGGTCTTGGTTTGCAGAGCCGTGGAAGGGGAGAACCAAAGCTCTGCAGGAAGCTTTGAATGGGCTTTACTCACAAAAAAGTGAGCCGGCCGCAATGCGATCCAGTGCATTCCGGCCAGCATCGGTCCGGTACGCACTGTGGCTGGTGTG